TTTGTTCCTGAAAGGCTTCTGTCATAGCACACTACACCCAACCTGTTGCTGGAGGAAGTAAATGGAGTTTCTGGGGGCTGGGCATATCTGTTAATTATCTGGCACAGAGACTTTGGAAATCCATTTTCTGGGAAGAACATTCTCTGTCCTTGGTTAATATTTTGCTTACAAATTAATATCTATATCTTGATTTGTGGTAGTTTGGCCAGAGTATATCATTGCTCTTCCCAAAATTCTTGTGACTCAAGTTTCAGAAAAAGTACAAATTTCCTCATGTTTAAGAGGAGTTTATGACAGTGAGTGAGTCACCCACGAACACACAGGAAGTCCACATCTGCTGTTCCTTGGAACATCCGGCATCTCAGGGAAATTAACTTCAGCGTTTGTTAAGCTACCACTAAAAACGCCTCCGTGTGCCAAGCTCTTTAGGTGGACAGGAAAATGAAAGAAACTCTGTGGTCGTAGATGACAGAGCTCAGGGTATGGTCTTGGTCTGCTGAAGTCAGCTGGATAATACACTCTATGATATCATGTGTTATAGAGGGTTGAAACTGTGGTACTCAGCAGTAAGTTTTTTAAAAAGGAAGTGAACAACTAGTAAAGAAGGCTTTATGGAAGAGTTGTAATACCCAGTGGAAAACATTAGCAGTCTTGAAATGAAATGATCTAGGTATGATTTTCTCTTATTACCAATTAAAGCAGGGGTCTCAGGCAAGTAATTTAGTCTCTGAACTCAGTTTCTTTACCTCAAAAAAGCCGTAAGTACTGCAGAAGGCTGTGAGAATTAAATGTGACAACTGATATAAAATGTACTCAATGGGTTCAAATTGAACTCGAGGAGGTAGAATTGGGCCAGAAAGGGTGAAACGTAAAGCTGAGTACACATCGATGAGGAGGGGTCAGGGGTAACCAGTGAATGGACAGATTGGAGCCATTGTTAGAGATTTCAGTTTTGTCTAAATTAGCATTTTCCTAAGTATGACCTGTGGCCCAACAGCCTCAGAATTGCCTAGAGTGCTTGTTAAAAATGCAAATTCAGGGCCAGCTACACTGGCAAAGTGATAATGCACTGCTTTGAGCTACTGAACCCACATGGAAAAGTCCCGGGTTCGTATCTCAAGGTATCCTGTGTACTCCAGGAAGCGAACATGCCTATGATCCAGGCTGGCTGAAGCAAGGGTGAGCTGTGGCATGAGGACCTTGGTGGGGGCACCTCTTTCTCTCTCTTTCTTGGAAGATGTAACTAGGAACCAACAGTGACTCAGTGGCAACACACATGCTTTGAAAGGCTGACTCAGGACCAGCAGGTGATGTGGTGGTGAAGGCACTAGACTCCCACATAGCCAACTGCAGTTTGAGTCCCAGACCCTCCAGCTCAAAAATCACACCAGCATGTGTGTGCACATGCCTAAAATCCTGAGAGGAGAATGGAAGAGAAGAGATTGGGGTGTGGCCATCCTTCCTGGCCTCCCTGGGAGTGATTTCTCACTCACTTTCCCTCTCTGTTTCTTTCTCTCTCTGGCAAGCACACACGCCCTATGGCAAAAAAGAAAGAAGAAAGAAAGAAAGAAAGAAAGAAAGAAAGAAAGAAAGAAAGAAAGAAAGAAAGAAAAAGAAAGAAAGAAAGAAAGAAAAGAAAGAAAAGAAAGAGAGAAAGGAAGGAAGAAAAAGACAAGGAGAAGGTTGACCCACATGAGAAAGTTCCCAGTCTTTTCTGGGTATCTCCCTCAACAGTCGAGGTGTGTATGTGCCTGTGATCTAAACTGGCTGAAGCTGAGACTGGATTGTAGCATGAGGACCCTGCTTGGGATGCCTATCTGTCTGTCTGTCTGTCTGTCTCTCTCTCTGTTTCTCTTGCTTACTAAAGAAAGAAATTAACTTTTTAAAAATGAGTGGAGGGGCCAGCATGTGGCATGGTGGTTAAGAGTGCTGGACTTCCACATGGCTGACCACAGTTCGAGTCCTGAACCTGGCGGCTTGCTTTTTCACTTTCTCTCTCTCTCCTCACTCTGTCTCTTTCTGGTCAAATTAAAATTAATTAATTAAATTAAATTAAGTCCAATAAAATAATTCTTTAAATAAAGGAGTGGAATAAAATGGAGTGGAAAATAACAAAATGTAATGAATTAAGTGAGCATGGTCCAGAGTTTGTGCTCTGGTGGCAGAGTGCCTGGGTGTAAACCATGGTGTGACTGCATGAGTGGGGCAAGTAACTAATCTTCCCTGTGCCTTAGTTTTCTTGTCTGTGAAATAAGAAAAATAATAATACCCACCTGTCTTAATATTTGTATTGCTATAACAGAATACCACAAACTAGGAAATTTATCAATAGAAGAAATTTATTTCTCACAGGTCTGGAGGCTGGGAAGTCCAAGATCAAGATGCCGGCCCCAGTGAGGGTGTCTGCTGTGTCATTCCATAGCAGAAGGTGGCAGGGCAAGGGAGAACCTTTTTACATCATAAACCAGCTCATTTGTGCAGCCCATTCATTCCCAGACCCTAGAATCTCTTTCCTCACCTGTATATAGTTTGCCCCTTCTTCAAAGCTTGGTTCAGATTCTTTCTTTTCCAGGAAACCTTCCAGATCGTCTCAAACTAAACAATGGTTTCTGTTCCTTGGTCTTCATTTCCAAACCAAACTGGTCTGTTGAGCACTATATCTCATTTCAACCTGCCTTAGAATGACGTTCATTCATGTTCTCTAAGGCTTATTTTTTTTTTTGATTATGAAAGAGAAAAAGAGATAGACATTCTGGACAGGTTCTTGTTACTCCACAACACCCCTACGTCTCCTTTTCCAGCCAGCCAGGATCATGTGTGCTCATGCCAGCATGCTCAGATGAACAAATTCCATTTTCCACCTTACTTACAGCATTGCAGAGCAGAGTCCTACCACCAGCGCCACCTAGACAAGGCCTCCTTCATTTTTTTTTATTTGAAAGTCAGTCTTAACTGCACACGTAAGGATGAGGGTATGCCGTGAGTACATTCCATGGGACTTAGCACATTGTCTGCAACATAGTGGAAACTCAAAAAATATTTATTGAAAATTGAAGTTATGTCTAAATTCAAATGCACTCCCTCGTCTCATTGCACATTAAACAAGAATGAGGGGGGTTAGACCATGGGGTAGCAATAAGAGACTGACCTACATAAGAAAGCTTCAAGTTCTCATCTGGAGATCCCCCTGAGTACCCTGAGCATTTACACCCACATTCTGGAGCTGGCTGAGGCTCTTCACGGAGCTGACCCTACAACCTAAGGGAGCTGGATTCCACATGGCTGACTCCACAGTCCAAATCCTGGATCCAATGGCTTGAGAAACACACCAGGTATATGCATACATGCCCCGAATCCTAAGAGGATGGAGACATGAAGGAGGATTGTGGCATGACCACACTCCATTGGGAGTGCTTTAACCATCTCTCTCTGGTGAAACACATACCCTCTGGCAACTAAAACACACAAAAACAAAACAAAACAACAACAACAAAATAACTGCCCCTCTTGAGGATGCTTCCCCCCTGTCTCCATCTCTCTGTCACTGTCTCTTTTTCTCTTTCTCTCTTGTTCATAGAAAAAAAATAATTTTTGTTTAATTTGCCAGAGGGCATGTGCACTTGCTGGAGAGAGCCAGGGATTGGGGCAGGGTTGGGGAGACAGAACACTCCTCATGGGGAATGGTCTTACTGCTATCCCTTGTCTTCTATTTCTCCCTTGTTTGGGGATTCTGGGCACACATGCACACACACCCAACATGTTTTTCAAGCTGCTAAATCCAGGACTCAAACTATGGTCAATCATGTGGGATCCAGCCTCCTGGGATCCACCAGGCCACAGGCTAGCTCCAGAAGAAACAAATTTTTAAAAATAATAAAACAAATAAAAAAAAGAAAAAGAATGAGAAGCAATGATGAACAGAGGTTAGTGTCAATGCTTTTTATTTAGTTAGCTTTTTCTTTCAAAAGGTGGGGCACCCGCAGTAGGTTCTTTGTGCCACAATCCATCTCCACTCCCATCTTCCTGGGTCATGGGCATGTGAGTACTCAGCATGCTAAGGGAGGTCCTGGGATATGAACCCAGGATCTTTTCCACATGGCTCTAGCTACATTTCTACAGCCCTGTGACCTGGCCCCAGCACTGATCCTCTTTCAGGGAACCAACAGAAGATTTCTGGGAAGAAGCACTAGGAGAGAACTAATCAGTAGGGCAAGGTATATGGGAACAACAGTGATCTTGAGGGTGGTATTAAAGTCAGGGAGATTAGAAGGCAGTGTCAGCCAAGCATCATGATGTGAGAAAGATATCTTGGGGAATGCTGGCGCTGTGTGGGCTCCTTACAGGAACACTAGTCATTCAGTAAACCTTGGCAGACCAACAATAATCAAGAGGAAGAATACTTTCTGAGTATGGTGGTGGAGAAGAGGTTGGAAAAATAAGCCAACCCTCAACCAACTGAGCTGGAGTTGAGAAAGTCTTACAGAAAAAACTGAGTTTGGGGAAGGAAAAGGGAGTTCAAGGTTAATCTAAAAAACTAACCTTAAACCCATATCTCTTAGAGGTGGGATAAAGAGGGCCATTTTCTTCTATGAGACAGAGAAAGAAAAAGAGAGTGAAGCACCCTCAACAGGGTCTTCTTCAGCCTGTCGGGGTCATGAACGCATGCACGCACACACTTGTGGTGCACCAGAAGACCTCAGGACACACACCTGGGACCTTCTCCTGTCATCCATATGGTTGGATGTGACATTATCCCTGGGCCACCGTGACTGACCAAGGTTGATCTTTATCACACTGGCTGGAGAGCTGAGTTTGTTGTGTTCTTTTTACCGGCCTAGGTGTGCTAACATATTGCAACAGGCCGCAGTGGCGACAGCTGGAAAATACGAGGAAGGTTGTGACTGGTAGCAAAGATCAGCTCTGGCCCCTTGCAAGGTCAATTACGAATTTAAATTTCAATCTAACAGGTTCTAAGTGATCTTGTAAAACCTGTCTGCAATATGTGTGGTGCAAACAGAAAATTTTCCATAAAAAAAGTGGGGAGGAGTGGGACACTCAAGGACTGTGTTGCCATTTAGACGGAATCTCCACTTCTTACTCCTCACTGCTCTGTAGACGGGATTTCTCAGTTCAGTTGGCACCTCTAAGCAGAAAAAGGAATAAGGAAGAGACTTACTTTTCTCTTCATATTTTGCCTGTATCACATCTTCTGGTTATTCCGAGACCTTTTGCTTTTCTTGTCTTGCAAATGACCTGCAGTTTCCCTGGTCTAGTTACTTACTGAAAGGACAGTGTGGACTTGCAACCTGGCTTCATCAATTACCTGTGGGCACGGATGGATGTGACAGTCAGCACGAGACTACGTTTCCTCATCTGAAATGTGGATCATAATTCATAGGATCACTGTGAGGACAAAGGAGCAAGAAAAGGGTTCAGTTGCTGTAATTGTGGTTATCAGTGATGAAGGCTCTATGAAGTGCTGCTTTTAAGCAACCTAGGCAAATAAGCACTTGACTACAGGACCCTATTTAAATAATACTATTTTACACTTCACGCAACTAAGGTTCAATTCTCCATTTGTACATAACTGTTATTATCTTGCAAGCTCCCTGGGCCCTAGTTTCTGTAACAGTGAATTGCAATTAGAGAGCATAGCAGGTTTCTAGCAATGTTAAAACTGTTCCTTGTAATTATTTCCTAATTTCATATTTTATCTAACCAATGGCTTTAAAAAAGAAATTTTGGAATACAGAAAGGAATACAAGTGCATTGCCTGCAATGTGGAAAATATAGAAAAGTAGAAAGAATGCACGAAAACTATCCTGTATCCACCATTAACCTTTCGGTATACATTTTACTATTCTTTTTTTCTATTCTTATATATAGATCATTTTTCTAAGCATTGACTCATTCTATACATTTATTTTATATCCTGCTTTTCCCATTTCTTTAACAATTGTTCTTTTTTTTTTTGGAGAGATTTTCACTGTAGGGCGTGTGCGCTCGCCAGACAGACAGAGAGAGACATAGAGACAGAAAGTGAGAAATCACCCCCCAGGGGGGATGGTCACGCCGCAATCCCTTCTCCTCCATTCTCCTCTCGGGATCTTGGGCACGCACGTACACGCGCCCGGCGTGAGTTTTAAGCCACCGGGTCCGGGACGCGAACCGCGGTCGACTATGTGGGAGTCCAGCGACATAGCCATTACTCTAACTGCTGGTTCCCAACAATTGTTCTTTATCATGACAATGAATGCAGATACTGCATCATGGGACTAGATCATCATATAATTATTCAACCCCCCCCTACTTTGACGACTTTGCAACCATTCTTTACCTTCGTGAATGAAAAGCAGACGGTATCTGGGATGATTTAGATAAAGTTTTCTTTACTTTCCCTTGTAGAAGTTATAACGTCCTTCCTCTAATGTTGAGCAAGTTTCTGTGCTGATCACATTCTCCCAGCCAGCTCTCTCTCTCTGCTCATACTTAGTTTTATTTTCTCCCCTCACTATTCTCATCTCCCTCTGCCTAAGTCTCTAACTCTGCTAAGGAGCTAGGTCTCTTCTGGGAAGCATAAGCACATGACAAACCCCTTCACACTATCCAACCTCCTGGGTGGGAGCGGACCTGGCTGAAGCTATGCCGAATCTTCTGTCATGTGCTCCCAGAGAGGCAGTTAAGACTGAGGCCAATCTCAAATCCATCTGTTACATTTGGAGTGCATTTTCTTTTTTAATGCAATATCAGGATGAGATGAAGAGGCCACAGGAGGCGGGGCTTCTCTTTGAGTTTTTAAGAAGGGCTCTTGTAAGTAAAACGTTTGGCCAAAGGCTAAGAACATTTTTATGTTCAAGGTCCTTTCCAGAAATTTATACTCCTACCAGAAGTGTATGAGGCTGTTCATTTCACAACCAGTGGTTTTTAAAACAAGCAGAAACTTGTACTAATTACGTTTCTGCACTTAACCCCATAAAGATACCCCCACCTCCTCCGAGTAGGACCCATATTTATCCCCCTCGGCACTTACTGTACTGTGGACATGTATCTCTGTTGTAGAACTGATTACGTGATTTCAAAATTGTGTGTGTGTGTGTGCACATGCGCACACATGCCTGGATTTTCTTTTTTCAAGTTTATTCATTTGTTTCTTCTAAAAAGGTGGGGACGAAGCACCCTCACAGGACTTTCATGCCACAATCCATCCCCAGCCTCAACCAGTCTGTACCATGACATACATGTGGCATCCTCACGGAGGTCACACCATGCGTGCCCAGGACCTCTGCCGTGTGAGTCCTGTTACTGCTGCAGCTCCTCCAGGCTCCTGGCTGCTGCTGTAGACCAAGTCTCTTAAGAGCAAGCTCATGTCTTTCTCTTCTCTGTGACCTCAGCACAAAATGTAAAGGCCAACCCATCAGTGATTCAATGTGCATTGTTGCCAGTTGCCAAAGCCAGTGTGATGAGGGGTCAGCTGTTGCTGACTTCAGGGTCTCTGGTTTATCTGCGGCTGTTTCATGATGTGGTTGTACTTTGCCTTTTAGGTCCAAACTAGTTTTCTCGCCCACCCTCCTGAGACGATGGCTTGGCTTTAGACCACTCTCACACCTACGGTGATGCTGTTTCCTTTGCTTAGAAAGTCCTTCCTTCCATTTTTAACCTGATAATTTCCTTCTCTTCTAACCCACATGATTCAATTCTGAGTTCATGCTAGTGTTGCCTACCTGCCCCAACATCTCCCAGAAAAAGCCAGGCTCTTTTTTTAAGGTCCAAGAGCTCCTCGTTCAGGTGGCTCTTAGAGTATTACCATATTACCTTGGATTTACCAGTTTAATTACCTTTCTTTTCCATATTGTATGTAAAAGTGTTATACAAATCATAAGTTATGCCCATTAGTTTCTTACAGTAATTTTAGTTGTGGATCCAATATTTTTAAAAAGGAGTAGATTCGAATACAGTGGAGGGCTAGCACAGTGGTGCAGCATGATGCTGGGCTCCGTAATGTGGAAACCACATGGGAGGGTCCCAGGTTCGTGTCCTGAGGTCTCCCTCTATGCACAGAGCGTGTGAGTATATGTCTATAATCCTGGCTGATTGGAGCTGGAGCTTCGTTGTGACATGAAGACTGTTGGGGTGCCTGTCTCTCTCTCTCTTTTTCTTTCTCAAGGAGAAATAGATAAATAAATAAATAAATGAAAAATAAAAGTAGAGATAGTAGAATAGGCTAGGAAAATAAGAGAGTGTTGGGTCAGCAGGTGGCATGATGGTTAAGGTGGCTGGATCCCACATGACTGACTGCAAGGTTCAAGCCCCAAAACTAGTGGTTTGAAAATCACACTGGGCATGTATGCATGCATACCCAAAATTCCAAGAGGAGAATGGAGGAAAAGGAATTGTGGCATGGCTATCCCCTCTGCGGGATGAATTTTTACTTTCACTTTCCCTCTCTGCTTCCCTCTGACAAACCCAAGCACCGTACAGCACAGGGACTGGCAGGTGGCTTGATGGTTAAGGCCACCAGACTCCCACATGGCCGTCTGCAATTCAAGCCCCAGGCCTGGCAGTTTACTTTCTCGCTTTCCCTTTCTCTCTCTCTCTCTGGTCAAATTAAAATAAATAAATACTAACTGAATTAAGTAAACACTTTGTTTTTTAAAAATCTAAAAAGTAAATAAATAAATAATAAATAAGAGTGCATTGTTTATAGTTAAGAGTCAGTATTGTTTTATGAAATTTCAAGTGCGTTGTGCATGTTGGTGGGAGGTGTATGGACTCTCCACGTAAAATGTATCTGTTACTTTGGGTTATAGCTGAAGTAATTAAAACAACTGCTCTCACTGTGCTCTTTGAGGGTTGGCTTTTTGCCTTACTTTCTTTGTATTCCCAGGATCTTAAGCAGAACTTAGTTTCAGCATACAGTGGGTAATTCAAGAATTCTTTCATGTAAAATAGGTGAATGAACGATCAAATGAATAAATGTAACTTTCCCTCAAGCCAGAGGAAGAGTCTCCCCTAAGAGCAAAATACCAGTGAGGAACAGTCATGAGACTGTAAGCAGAGTCAAAAGTTCACAGAAAATGCATATTCTGATAAATCTCTTTGTGTGAATGTCATTTTTTTTTTGCACCGCAATAAACTCATACTTTAATTCCATTTTTCTACTAACTTTTTGAAGTCACCTTGTATTTTACAAGGCTTTAGTGGATGAAATGTCACTTAAATATCCAATCCCTTTAGACAAAGTGGTGTCTCCAAACACACAACTGGTTGGTATCAACATGGCCGTCAAATGACAGACGATTTTGTGTTTTAAAATTCCAAGTTTCTTAGAAAATGTATTAAATACTGTGTGAGAGTTTTCAACCCTGGCACTGAATGGCAAGTCACCCTACCTTGGTTCAAATCCTCGCTTTGCCATTGTTTCTAAGCCTCTGTTACTCCACTTCTAAAATGAGAAGGCAGTATCTCCTTCATGGGCCCCAAATGCGCACACGGAGTACTCACATGTTAGCTATTAGTGTATCACTGAAGTTATTTGTGGCAGAGACCACCGCTTGCCCTCTCAATATATTTAGTTTCTTCCTCATCCTTATTAATAGAATCTCCTTTTTATCTGGGCAGCATTGCCCTCAACTAAGCTTTTATAAGATTTTGTCTTCTTTGCCAGGTTGCCCATTGGTGGAGGTTCAAGAGCACCCTTTAAAGAAAGCACGTTTTTCAGGTCTGGCCTTTTGCCCTTCCACTCTACCTTTCTTTATTTTGCCCGGGATTTAAATATGGTAGCCATAGCTGAAGCTACCATTATAGACCATTAGGAACCTTGAGCATGAAACTGATGTACTCTGAGTCTCCTGAATTCATACCAGCCCTGGACTACAATCGCCCAAAGTTTTCTTAAATGAGAGAAATAATGAGCTCTATCTGGCTTCCGCCAATACTGTTTCATTAGGTACACAGCTGGAATGAACTCTAACATAAAACTCAATGAATATTGATTTTTTTTTTTTCTGATGGTGAAACAATTTTAAGGGGAGAAAGTTAGCATTTAAATAAACACCCATCGTGTGAAAGGTCCTAGGATATATTTTTATTTTTATTTCATTCTCACAAGGTTCCCAAGAGATGGAATTATTATTTTCCTTTAACAGATAAGGAAGTTGCAGCTCAGTGAGTAAAATAATAGAAGCAAGAACACCTGACAAATAGATTTAACCTAGATATACCCAGGCCAAAGTCACCCTGCTCCCAAACAAGTATTGAATATGTGTGGGGCATAGATAACTCATTTTCCTCATCAACAAATATCACTGAAAATATTTTTCTATTGTAACTAATGAATTATCAGATAGAATTAAAAGTTCGTAAGGATTTTAAGAAAATAGAAGACTTCACATTTAACTTGTAGGGAGGTATATCTTTTAATGTTAGTGATTTCTCAGAAGAAAAGTTGAGAAGCATAGGATTTTATCCTACCACCTCCTGCAGAACATAGGCGGTTCTCTTTACCTTCAAGTTCCTTGCAAAACAGTCAACATCTGGTGGTGGGTGGTTCACTCCCCACCGGTGACATGCTGCTAAATCATCAGCCCATGATTCACCTACTCTGCTTTAGCACCATCCTCATTTCTGGAAAACTTGCCTCCTGTCTGTTCACTCTTTTTTTCTTTTGCAATGAAAGTACCTTGACCTCAGCCTTGAGATTGTAGTTTCTGAAGAGGCTCAGTTTCATGAGATAACGAGAGTGGTTATTGTCATCATTAGTGAGAGAAAGCAATGTGTGACCTCATTGCTTATAATGTTGCATCCCGGGTATTTTCTCAGCCTCCCACCTTCCCTCCGATGGCTCTTCCCACAGAGATTTCTCTTTGTTTGCCAGAAACCAGGGAGACCATCAAAGGCTGCCCACAGAAACTTTAATGCACTGCAGAAAAGCCTTGTTTCTACTTGGGGGTGACGTGCTGTAAATGAAGCTTGATGGACTTGCTATTAACAATGCCTCCTAAAAAGCAAATTATTTTTAAGGCCAATTTTATGAAATTACTATTAATTATCTTTATTATAAGAGTGATACACACTGATTATACAAAATGTGAAAAGTGGAAGTGGCCCCTTTCCTTAAGGCTACTTGTATTTACCAGAGACATCCACATTCAGGTTTTATCATCTGTAAAGTCACAAATGTATAATGAGGGCAGCCAGTGGCATAGTGGTTAAGGTGGTTGGATCCCACATAGTTGGCTGTGTGGTTCAAGTCCTGGATGGGGTGGCTTGAAAAACGCTCTGGGGGCTTGTGTGTATGTGCCCCAAATCCCAAAGTATGTGCAGGGAAGATGGAGGAGAAGGGGTTGCTGCATGACCATGTTCCCTAGGTGTGTTTAGTCACTTTTTCTCTCTCTGACTCTCTATTTGTCTCTTTCTGGAAAGCACACATGCTCTTGGTAAGTTTTTAAAAAAAGTCACAGATGCATAAAGTGTATCCATGAGTGCTTTCATGGAGTCTACTGTACACATAATCCTGCCATTTTCTAGTTCACTTAACTTTGGTGCCTTTCCAAATCAGTGCAAGTTGCCTTTTAAAATAACTATAAGGTATCCCCTTGTATAAATATACCGTAAAATTATAGAGTAATTTCCCATTGGTGGAAACTTAGATGGTTTTCAGTTTGTCTTAAATTAACAAAGATATTTGTCAAATAGTTGATAAAGTTGATTAGTCTTTGACAAACAACCACAGGTTAAAAGAGCCCCAAAGAAAATGATGTAGCATGTGCTCAAAAGAAGAAAGACTATAAATGCTCAATATATACATAAAAAGTTACTAAATATCATAATGTAAGAAATACATGCTCAAACACTTGATGGAATGTCATTTTACTCATCAAATTGGAAAATATATTAAAATACATAATAAACGACATTTTCAGAATGTAAAGAAAACTCTCATTCATTTATCATTGAGGGGTATTGATTTTGTACAACTCTTTCTGGAGGGCAATATGACAGAATCTTTCAGAATTGCAGACCCAGCTGTAGGTGGGTGGGTGGCAGGGTGCCACTGTGCAATACTGGATTCATACAGGAAGGTCAGAGTTCAGGCCTGAGCTCACAGGGGCTCCTGCAAGTATGTATGTAATCCCGGCTGGCTGGGAAACTAGGGGGAAGGGGATAGAGACACGATAGTACCCTGTTGGGATCCTTCTTGCTCTCTCTTAAATAAATAAATAAACTTAAAATTAAGAAAAAATCACCTTTGATCCCCATTTCCAATCTAGGTGCTCTTGTTCTGGTTTGCAGATCATTGACAGATGCTTATTACAGTT